GCCGTGAGATTTATCAAAGTGACAGAGCGCACCGCACAGCACAAGAGCAGCATTTATCTCCCCCCACCCCCCCACCGCTCTCTGTTCTCTCACTCTGCACCACACACACACACACACACATGCACACTCACACACTTAGGCACACTCTTCCAGGGACATAACATAAACTTGCATTGATTTCCTGGAGACTTAACCTAACCCCACCACTACTTGCTCAACCTGAACCCTAATCTTAATCTACACTCTTTACATTTTATCTTCATAATGCATCACTTTTGTTTTATTTACACCCGACGTCTCCGCTGCTCTGAGGTTTTCAAGCCCTTAAACCAGAGACTGCCCTGTTTTAGTTTGAGGCCTGCAGTTTGGTCTGGCAGAAACAGAGTCTTTGGGAAACTATCATGCACACACACCTGTGATCGAGTCCAGATTATATCTTCTCAGTCAGGACGTATCCTTCACCTTCATCAGACTGCTATCATGTGACCCTTTTCTACATGGGTATTGCTTTCCAAGCATTGCTGCCCTCAACCTACCGGCCCGCTCCTCCACACACCAGCTACCAGCGTGTCCGCACTGTGATCACCCCTCTTAATTACAGAATGTGTCCTCCACCCTCAACCACTGTCTGTGTCTGCATCTAGTTGCCTCTCTAAGATGGTTTTTCACATAATGGACAAAAAAATGTAACTTGGAATTTCCTATAACTGTGATTCTGAACATCTGCAGTCCAGACAAAACTTTTATGAGCGTATATTAAATGTTCAGAGCTGCACTCTGATCATATAAAACCTCATAACTCCAGGCTCAGCATATAGATGCACTGATTAAATATGATATGATCGTGATGAGGACTTTTCTACTCAATTTAATATGTCACAATTCTTTAACTACGACCTCCGACTGTATCTTTGGCGTGTGAACAGCCTCAAACAGCTTGTCTTTTTGGTCCATTGCTCACAAAACGTTCTGACATTGTTAGATTTCAGCCCTCAGGACAGTCCTCACACACATCCACACCACAGACCACGCCACCACCCATGACCTCTGACCTCTCACTGTGCCACGACCCCATCATGATGATGTACAGCAAGCTCATCATCCCCATGGTAACAAGAACTAGTTGCACAAAGCATCGCCACAGGGGAGTGTGTGTGTGTGTGTGTGTGTGTGTGTGTGTGTGTGTGTGTGTGTGTGTGTGTGTGTGTGTGTGCATTTGTGTGTGGGATGAGGCTCAATCAGTGGAGGGGGATGGGACTGGACACACACACACACACACTAATAGGGATCTCCATCTGTCTATGTAAATCAATCCTGACCTTTGCTGAACTCTGGCTGTGCAGTTTGACAGTTAATCACTTGATAAGTGTGCTATGTGTGCCAGTGTGTGTGGTGTGTGTGTGTGTGTGTGTCTGTCTGTCTGCATGCATGGATGTGTGTGTGTGTAAGCTATTGTTTCTTGTTTAGTGTAATTGAGTACAGAATAACAGCAGGTCACCAAACCAGCAGACAAGATGGCAGAAGCCCAGTGTGTGTGTGTGTGTGTGTGTGTGTGTGTGTGTGTGTGTGTGTGTGTGTGTGAGACAGACAGAGCGAGAGAGAGTGTGTGTCAAGGATGATGATGATATGTTTGCTTGTGAAATCATCATCAAGAATACAACAAAATATATAATGTGATGTTAATACTGTACTTGAGTTGTATTTACACGTGTTAATTTCTACAACATACTGTTTGTTTATCTATCTATGTTGTTTGTGAAAACCCAGATGGCAGCTGCTTTAAACCAAATGTAGGTTACACTGCTAGGTGAACCACATGTCGATATCAGATGCTGTCGTGCGTGATGAGGCTCATCAATATGTCAATGCAGCTTCTAGATGAGATCTCTATATTGTTGTGTGGGCAAGGAGAGGTCATTATGTCAGTGGGTGCCTGCATTATGTGCATACACACACACACACACACAAACACACACACAGGCACGTGTCAATGGACTGCATGTGGTTTAAAAGATAAATGTGAATCTGTTTTTACGGTGCGTCTCAGATAATCCACATAAAATCAGATTCTGAGCAGTTAGAGAGTTGTGTTTAAATTCCAGAGGGGATTGTTGCCTCAGAGAGAAATACTGATGTATGGTCTCTGAAGGTGATTCAGTTTCTACACACACACACACATACACACACACACGCAAAAGAGTTCTCAGGTTAACCTAATCAATCTAATCTGTCAGATTAACACACATTATAAAATGGCCGCTAATCCCTGTCTGTCCTTCTACCGAGCAAACTGAGCCGTCACTGAGATAAACAGAGGAGCAGCATCTCCTCTGACATCGACTACAGCCCATAATATATATATATGTATTATAACTATGCTGTGGTTGAATAGTACATTGATAGTAAGCACAAAGAGAAATGTGCCATCTCAGTCTTTTAACATTTCTTTTGAAACTATTTGACTTCATCTGCAACAGCGTATGAGCAATGTCTCACGTTTTTCTTTCTATAAAGTCATGACATAGAAAAAGAAAACTCAAATGTACTGTTCATAATATTTTGGCAGATTCAAACCTGCACACTTGTCCATTTATAAAGATTATCTAAAGTATGTCCCTCTGGTTACAGTCCTTACACTCGTAGGCCAATTCAACATTAAACCCTCTTTTTATGTTTGTGTGTGTGATATAGCCTCACCATGTGGTATAATGAGCTAATCTAAGATAAACTGAACTTGTAGTTTGGATCAGTAGTTACTCTCCAGTTACTTTCAAGCATATTTCTAGTAGTTACATTTGAAGTTGAGTTTAAGCAGGATTGAATTTAAACAATCAAACAACTGTGACATAAATTCTATTTAAATTCTAATTATGTGATACCCTTAATGTGCCAGTGTGAAACAACAGCATTAAATACTATTTACAATGCTACAGCACTACTTATTACTACATTCATTTTACAAGCAGAGTACAACAAGCCAATCTTTTATTATATGAGGCTGCTGCCCTCTTGCCTGCAGAAGTGGAACAGCAGTGTTGTTATAGTGTAATAACATGAACTCAATCTAAAACTCAGGAAGACTGGGAAACTCACGGTTTTCATTGTCCAGCAGTGGTATGTGTGCTTAAAATCATTAAAAAGATTAAGACTGATGCCTCCAATACACACACACACACACACACACACACACACACACACACACACAGCATATAGCATGTGCCAGAAAACCAGACATTGCTGGACACGTGTGATGACATTGTCAAAACCAGACTTGACAAACAGTTATCCGGTGGGTGCACCAGACACCGTGTGTTAGGGTGTGCACGTGTGTGTGTTTGTGTGTGTGTGTGGGGGGGGGCACTTGCGTGTGTCTGACATGGAGGTGGATTAATACAGTCAGTCTGCCATCCCAGATGTCATCAGAGTGACCAGTGGTCCCATTGTCTGACCTCTGACCTTTCCAGATGGTGACACCCTACTCCTCCACACTCCCTCCATCATACACCCCTCCCACTGTGTGTGTGTGTGTGTGTGTTTAAGTTTTAAAAACTGACTGATGAGGTTTGAAGGATGTGCCACAAGAGTTAAATTAATCAAAACGTATACTTAAATTCTTGTTTCAAAATGTTTGCAAATGTTTTACTCTGAACTTTCAAAATCAAAACAATTTAAATTAATAGAACTTTGCGACAATTCAACTTATATTCACAAATAAATTAAGCATCAGAATGTGACTGTGTCAGTTGCTTCATGTGATTCACAATGAATGTAATGCACTTTATGAGAACACAAACCAAAAGCAGAGTCAATTACAGATAAATTCAGTTTAACCAGCTTGAACATATGTTCTTGTCTGCGGAGCATCAACACAATGAAGAATTGTTCATTTTCACAAAACTGCATTTTAATGTATGGGATGGTTCAGGTTTTGTGCTCTTCTATCTTTCCTGAAACTGCAGATGTAAAACAGAGCAGAGAACTTGGTCTCTCTACTCTAATATATTCATTACTGTCATTAACCTCTCTGCTACACAGTCCCATTATCTAATTATCCCCCTGTTACCACTGAACACACGCGCAGACACACACACA